AGCACAGTGTACTTGGGTAAGTACTCCAGCACATGTTACTTGTAGTAAGTATAGTGTACTTGAGTAAGTACTCCAGCACCCAGTACTCGGAGTTAGCACAGTGTACTTGGGTAAGTACTCCAGCACATGTTACTTGTAGTAAGTATAGTGTATTTGAGTAAGTACTCCAGCACCCAGTACTAGGAGTAAGCACAGTGTACTTGAGTAAGTACTCCAGCACATGTTACTTGTAGTAAGTATAGTGTACTTGAGTAAGTACTCCAGCACCCAGTGCTAGGAGTAAGCACAGTGTACCTGAGTAAGTACTCCAGCTCATGTTACTTGTAGTAAGTACTCCAGCACATGTTACTTGTAGTAAGTATAGTGTACTTGGGTAAGTTCTCCAGCACCCAGTACTAGGAGTAAGCACAGTGTACTTGAGTAAGTACTCCAGCACATGTTACTTGTAGTAAGTACTCCAGCACATGTTACTTGTAGTAAATACAGTGTAATTCAGTAAATACTCCAGCACATGTTACTTGTAGTAAGTACAGTGTACTAGAGTAAGTACTCCAGCTCCAGTACTCGGAGCTCGCCCAGACCGCCTGTAGAGTCAAGATGGATCGCCGGCCTCCTGAACCAACAATCACCTCTGAGTTATGTTCTAATTACAGTATCATTGTAGATAATTACCCTTGCCAAGTTAATTACCGCCCGACCGTAAGGCACATCCTTTCTGACCGCTGCTGTCCCTGCGCGGTTCAATGGTGCTTTTTATTAGTTCCGGTCATAAGTTTGTTTTTTTGCATTCCGTGTGCTTTGTCTCCTTGTGGATAAAGTTTCGGGATAGTTTGATACATTTTTTAGATGAATTTAATTTTTAAACTGTTGTGTGTTAGCTTTGAGTGTCAATTGTAACAAACCGGTGTTTGTTTACAACTATCAATGGAATAGTCAATGGCACAACGCATTTCATTCTAAGGTTCAGAAGATGCTAAATAAAGTAAAGTAAAATTAACATTGTATATTTCTGGGGTGAATGGATTTAGCGTAGTGTGATAGTATGTTTACAAAATGAAATATTCAATGGTACAACGCATTTAATTTGGTTCAGAAGATGAAAAATATAATTAAGTAAAATTAACATTGTTTATTTCTGGGGTGTATAATGGATTTAGGTTTTATTTATAAGTCGTAGCACTTCTTATTCAGAAAATGCCAAATAGATTAATGTCAAATTAACTTTTAAACCTGAAAATCCGAATCCTTCTAAGATTTGTAAACAGAAAAACTAGTAATAACTGGACACCAAAATCGACACTGAAATAATTACTGTAGATAAATTTGTTTTGGTGCACAGTATACTACTTTTACTGGTAACTCAGCATATTTTGGTTTAAAAGTTTAATTTATAAAATATTGATCTCGGCTTCAGGATTTATGCTTCAACATTGAGTTTTCAAACCCATAACAATAACTGATATGTAAACTAATTGACGTAGGTATTGAACTTAACGTTAACGTGAAAATAACGTTTTTGTGTCACGAGGAGTAAATGAAAATAATTTTTAGATAACCGTAAACCGTACCACATAGTTTTACTCATATAGGCTGCTACTCTACAAATTAGCGATGACCAAACGGTTAAAACATTCCAAATTGGCAACGCATCATTTCCAATCGCCGCGATTGTCACGCAATATAAATCAATTCATACGTTTATTGCTTAAAACGGCGCATTGAACCAACAGATTGCTGTTTCGTGCCTGTCCGCCATATTTCCCAGTCATATATTCATAGTCCGCACTCCGCAGTACGTACCAATGTTTAATACTGTTATGCAGACGTCGATTATGTTTGCCACATTGTATTAATGAGGGGGTGAATTTGGCGGGAGTGGTTCTGTCTGTTTCGGCGGGAAATTGTGTTATGGTGGTCGAGCGAGGGAACTCCATTAGAGGATTGCAATCATCCCGTATTGTGTGTCTGCGGCATTTTATTGGTTACGCATTAGATCAATATTAACTTGGCCGTTTGCCTGTGTTTGTTGCACGTTAAACAACGTCGATATTTCATTGTGAACACCTGACTTACATTGCTCGACAGATTGCTACGCGAGTTTCCGCGAGTCCTTGGTTTCAGGTTTCACTATGATCTATGTATTGGCTCGAGGGATTGTTATAGTTCAATTTGCAATCCTGTCCAACTTAAACTTTAGTGTAAGGTGTGGCGAATATAATCATTATATACTGGATTGTTATGCCCCTATTGAGTTGCTTGAAGATTAAAAATATAGTTGAATGATTTGCTGTAGATACCTGTTTTGAACTGCTTAGAATTTTTAAAATTCAATTATTTCGAAGAAGACATTAAGATGGTTTAGGTTATTTTAATTAGGTTTATTTTTCTTAATCCCTTTTTTTATTATTTTTCCCCTCATGTGGCTTAAATGCTTGAATTGAGACAACTGCATTGAATTTACTAATATACGAGGACATCTATGTACAGTATCATGTACTTACCGAAGGAGTAGTGTACTGTAGGTTGTGGCGGGTTTAAAATTACTATTGTATGATTTGATTCATTTTTCCATTAAACCAATTTACCAATCAATTGGTATTTGATTTTTTTTTGTTGAGTTTGTACAATAACACTGAATTTGACAAATTCAGTCGTCTTGATCAAACTTTTTTAAATTCACTTATTCCCACCTATCCTATAAAAACTGAACTAATCCAAATAAAAAAAAAACTTTCCTTCCTTAAACTTGCAAATCTCAACACTTAGAGTATAAATCATAGAGCTAGTTAGCCTCACTAATCGATGACGAAGGAGTTTCTGCTAGACAGGCCTTTCATCCGGTGATTCCGAACTGGGTTATGTAAATGTTAACAAGGTAGGTGATTGTATTAGACCAATGGTTACTAGACACGATCCTTGCAAATAACTTGCCGAAGAGGATCTCATGGCTATTGATTCAGCGATGAGTCAGACAGTATCAAGCTTTCATGAGGGAATATTGCTTTGGTTTGTTGTTTGTAAGCTGTAGTTCGATATAATGGTTATTTTGAGATTTTAGTCAATATTATTGTAAATTTTTTGGCGATTTTTCTTTTTAATATTATTGTTAGTGCAACTTGAATCAAGTTTACGCCGTTTTGAAAAAGAGCAGTCTTTGTACATTCTTGAACGTTTAGTCCTCTAGTCTGTATGCTGGAACCAGTCTCCTGATCCTCCGTCTACCTGGGACATTGGGCATTCCCCATGTAGACCCGATGTAGTAACACTTCGGCCCAGTATAACATTTCGGCCAAACTCAAATTTCTTAGAAAAACAGTATCACTTCGTCCCACTCGCTTTTACAGATGATTAAATAAGCTAATGGAGTAACATTTCGGCCCGACGAAAAATTTACAAGGGTTGAGGAACGCAGTTCAGGTAGTAAGAGGTACATGACCTGTATACTTTGCAACCACCCTATGGTGGAATGTCGCCCAATCGCCATGGAGTTACTAACCTAACCTAACCTAACCTAAATCCTCCCAAATAGTTAGTGAAGACCTGTCAAATATTTTGTTGGGACGAAGTGTTACTAGTGGGCAGGTAGAGAGTTGGACCTCAGGCCACATCTGAGGATTTCGGGCCGAAATGTTACTGGGCCGAAGTGTTACTTGGGCCGAAGTGTTACGACACGGTAGACCCGGCCAGGAGACAGGTTCTACCATACAGACTTTAGTCAATTATCCCTCTGATTCTGTTCGAGGAGTAATTTTTTTACTTGAAAAATTAGTTTTAGTACAGTATAGAAAACGTCCGCGTGCTACGCAAGGGGTTTCCCATCAAGAACATTGCAAGGTGGATAACCATATGGGTAGTGTTACTCGATTATATCTTCATCGTAAGACTAATTTTTGAGTAAATATTCATGTTCAATTGCTTAACCACTAGGTATAATAGGGAAATACCGAAATAGCTTTTAAACTTTGACCATCTTTATCTTCGAGCAAAGTGTTGGTTCAAAATATACAACGGTGGGCATTTGAGTTTGAAGGTAACGAGCTTATGATAGACATAGATGGTACTTTAAACTGATTTATCTGTGCTTCTGCTACCATTTAGAGTCTATACAAAAAGTTTGCTCAATTATAAGGGGAAGATACAGTAATACAACATGCATGAGAAACGCCGATAAAATCAAGCAATGTTGCGTGTACAACTACATCGTCTATCTTTGTGTGACTGAAATTCGAACCCGCAATCAGCTGTTGCCATGGTTATGTGGTGTACCATATGTCATTGACTTTAGTTACTGAAGAAACGTCCCGTATGGAGCAGCTGTAGCCAGCTTTTTTACTTAAAGGAAATAGTAGGACAAGCCTCGTAGACTGTAGCATTTTCTTTAGTTTTCAATACTAAGATAGTTAAGGACATAAAGAATCATAGCTAAAGTTATCCGCATCATTCATGTGTATTTCATAACATAAATATATATCATACAAATGCCTTAGTGGATCTTGTTAGGAATTTATTTTTGCAATTGTTCCAATTTCGTAATCATTGTGTAAACTATATTAACTGAGTATAAAATATTTTGATTATTGAACAGGTTTTTTTGTGGGGGGGGGGGGCAACTCTTATTGTGGATGCTTGTGGTTCTCTTTGAATAAATCTCTTGGAATAAATGAGAGTACCTAACAATTGCATATTAACGCTGAGTTTACAGTATACACAATGTTTCCCATTATGGGTATATATTTACTCTTAGCAAATAAAGTGGAACTTGTTAGTTCAACAAGCTGGAACATGTTCGCAACTGTTACAATTTGGAATAGTGTAAATTATATCAACGCAGAGTGGTAAAAATCTTATTTTACTGTATCTTTTGGTGTTGAGTCGCACTTATTGCGGATTCTTATGGTAATCTTGATAACCAGAGAACACAACAATTGCTTATGACCACTGTGTTATCTCGCCTACATCTGTTTGCTTGTTTGTTTGACCTGTTTGTTTGTTTGTTACAGTCGTGTTGCTGGACACGGCCACGGAGCCCACGCTGGAATGGACACGTTATCCCTTCGGTCCTGCCGCTACAACGCCTGGGGTGAGTCCATGAAGAATATAAACATTGTAAAATACTCTGGGTCTTTTTAAGAGATACGTCACTGTTACAATTTGGCTTGTGGAAATGAAGGTGAAGAAATAGGAACTGTTGATGATGAGTATTTTATTGACCAAACCAAAGCTAACTTTATGTTTCTTAACCTGACTAAACTAACCTAACTTTACTCTAACGTAACCTAACCTAAAAAAATCAATCCAACTTCAACTAAACTAACCTAACCTTACCTCACTTAATCTGACCGAACCTTACATTACCCAACCTGGCCTAAACCAACCTAACTCACCTCAACTACATTCTAAAGTAATCTATTTACGTTGTAAAAACCCAAAATTTTTATAGAGCAGATTTTAATAGTGACGACTCTTTTGTGGAAAAGACTCAACACCCAAGGGTTAAAAATGTAAAGATCTTGGAACGATGACGACCTATTTTGTTACGCTATGTTAGCTATGTGATGTGCAAACAAGAATTTTGTAAACTTCCTTGCATTGTCCGTGTGCATTACCTTACATCTATTCAATTTTAGCTCTTGGCATCGAGTTTGAACCCATAAGTACACTACAGTTTTAACCTAGCCTTAAGTTTGTTTTACTGCCACATAAAATGATATATTATATTATTTAAAATGCGATAACGCTCAATAACGAACACATTACTGTAATGACAAACTACTAAAACAGAACTAGTCGAGTGTTTTCAGTAAAAATGTAATCACAATGATGTAGGCCTATATTCCCAACCAGAAAGGCCAATTTCACCAAACATTTGGCCGACAATATTTTCGTTGCAATTACCCACAGTCGATTGTTTTGGCTCGGGTCATCGCTGGTAACAATACAACGTTATACGGGTGCCTGGCCATGAATCGGTAAACTACAATTTCGTCAACTACTGTAGTTCCGCACGAAACAGCCAACTGTAATTTGTTCGCCGCTAAGCAATTGTAATTTATTAGCGTAATGCTAACTTATGTAATTGCACACGACATGCGATTTGAATATATCTCAAGTAGAGTTTGGACAGTTGTAGTTAGGCAATTAGGTTTTGTTTGGATACGTTTATTTTCGTTTACGTGGTTTAATTAAAGAAAAATAATTGTGACATGAAAAGCCTTAGTTTTTATGTTTGTGGGTTGGATAAATTCACCATATATTTGCCATAGATTATTGTTACATATTAAGATTTTCTTCAAACAACTTAAATTAGTCACTATAAAGTGTAGGAGAGCGAAAAAGTATTACTCTATTCTTTTGTCGCTAGGTCCTAAATCCACTGTAGGATATTGATGGCCCACAACTCTGAAATCTTCTTTTTGTGTATTTGATGTACCTATCTTGGGGGAAGAGTGAACATTTGGTCTAACTCGGGGAAGGTTAAATAAAGAATTTGTCATTTGTCACTGAGCAAAATCAAAATTCAATAGTCATATAATGTTTCCTGATCTGCATATAATAGATTGTCAGACGTTTTAAACGCAGTACTTCATTAACAAAGACATTTAGATGAATGTACGTTTTATTGTCAACCTAATGCACTTGTGATGCTGTAATATTTGCCATTAGGAAAAATAACAATCAACATTAAATACTCTGCATGCTTAAACAGGTAAATAATGTATGTATTTGATATTGACCCCCCTCTAAACACGTATGATCATACGAATGTAAGGTAAGAGTCACTTTACGCCCCAGTGCAGAAATATACTTAATCAAAAAGTAAATCGTTGTGATGTGTGCTCTGGACAACCAAGTCTGTAATTGAACGTTGTGCACAGAGGGATATGCCGTGTGGTTATTCGATATAGACGGTTAAATACAAAGCCTGTATGGGTCTAATTGTCGTCCTAATGGGATCTGCGGTTTTCAAGTATTAACATCACTTGCATTAACAGGGTTTACCTGCGGCTAGGACGTTTGTGACGTTTACATACCTCTAAACCTCCGAGGATCGGGACTGGACAAAGGGACTGATTGATTCATAGCCAAAGGGGATCACTTCAAAGAGTCTTAGAATGGTTGAATTTATTGATTTGGTCCGTGCGTTATACAAGGAATTGTTTCGGAATACCTAATCTTTTACATGGCCTACTGTTTTTTTTGCAAAAATTACTCAACTTACAGTTCATGGAGTTGTTTCGTCAAATTTATCAGGTGCCCCAAGCAAATAGACTGACCTACAAGAAGACAGAATGATAATAAAAAACCATTGTAACAGAAAGTCACCAAATTTTGTGCAAAATTTTTAGAAAGCCATAAATCAATTCCAAGCATTTCCTGATCCAAGTCAATGTAATATTTTTATATACTTTTGATTGTAGAATTAGCTCAAAGTGCATATCCTTAAAATCCATCCTGTATACGTGCATAAGATGTGATGTAAACCTATTCAACCATCACATTCACACTAAGTGATTCCCAATAATATTCTCCCTGCGACATAACATTACCTCTCCCAATCTCAGTGTTTTTAAAATCCGAAACATATGAAAATTAACTCTGTCCGCCCCATCAGTCCGTAATTCAATTACCCAAGGCACTTGGCTGTCAGTGCCCATAACTAAGCATGAAGGCATAAATATCCCAACATCAATTACCAGTGTTTGCGCAACTCGAGCCACTGAGCCGCCGAGTCGACGACTCAATCGTTACGTAATCGAAACCGAACGTTTGACGGCTCATGTATATTTATCCGGTTCTTCTGGTGCACGGCGGTTTTCCGGTTCCGCTAACCGTTCACTTTCTCTCAGCTGACATTTAAATGCCACCTTGATGCACCGCACCGTGATGCAATTTGGAATCGGTATCAGTTAATTCCCACAGTGGGTTTTGTTGGGAACAGTCTTGAGCTGTGATCGTATGTTACTGGGCTGCTTTGGCTCCATGTTGATCAATTATACAGTACATTGATTGGATCATAAGTATTTGGAAACCTCAAAACTGTTCTTAAATGTATTTGGATACAGTGTATAATTATCTTGATTTAACAGACAGGCAATACACGGTATCAAAGGTGTTCAATCAATCAGATATTTTCAATGTCTTAGTTTACAAGAAAACCCCTCAAAATTCAGTCGTGATTAAGATTACCTCGTACCTATACAATAGGTTTAGTTCAAAAGTTTTCTTAATTTTTCTGATGGCTTAAATTTGAGGGTTGGCTAGCAGTACTTGAGGGTTGGGGTTTTTAATAATGAAATTGCTTAATAACCAGGTGATCTTATTAGGTAGCTCATCAGGTATCTACTTCTTTCAACACCGGTTCTTCATTCATTCCCACACAACGTATCTTAGTGTGTAGTTAATCCATTACATCCCATGTAACTTTATTACCGTGTCAAAATCAAAGTTTCCAACATAAAAACTCTTGGCGTGTTTTTCCTTTGTAACTCTGCGAAACTTGTAAATTCGCGAGACATAAAACAGCGGCATTATGACCAAATGGATGACCCTTGTATTAATTTTGGATCCCGAGTGTGTTTTGTGTTAAAACGTCCATTACGATGGGCGCCCCGTGGTCTAGGGGCCCAGGAGGGGGCCCATGCGGGGCGCTGCTCTTCCAGCGAGAGCGTAAATCGGGCCCAAAATATGGCATGGCTCGATGTCACTGGTGCACGCACGCTATACCTCCACCTAGCCACCATGTACTGTATGTGTGCCATTGGGAGTGATGTGGGTTATATGGGGTGTGTGGGGGTTTGACTACGATGAAGGGGAAATAATGTGTTGTGTACAATGGCGAATATTCGTTATACTGTACAATAGTAAGATATCGTTTTGAAAATTTATAATTAGGTTTATAACATAGAGTAATAGGGAATCAAGAAATTATATTTGAAATATTTGTTTTTGTCTTTTCTTAATAAGTTATTTAATTAAAGGCTTAGTTAATGATCATTGACTTATTAACTAAGTGGGGGGAAAATGATAAAACTAAAAGCCTCACTCCCTAGAGGACCACTAAACCTTAATTTTAACACCTCAATGATTATTTTTTTGATTTTCAACAGGTTTTTTGAGGAATTCTGTGAAAAAGTTAACATTGCTCATAAGGGACTAAAATCCAATATGGCTACCACTGATGAAGGCTCTTAAGACAGATGCACACTTGAAAGCCGAATAATTATAACACACTAAGGATAATTATAGTATGGAGTGAAATGATCAGTGTAACTAACTTTATTATTGTCTAAGACAAACTGTTTCTTTACCCAGGACCATTTATGATCAATACAATAACTAGGTGGCGTTCGCAGAGGCATCCACAAAATTGAGCGGAGTCATCAAGGGTTCATATTATATTGTTTTTGTCTTACTGCAGTAAAAACAGTATTTTTTCATGCATGCGCTGCGGGTCTAAAGTAGCATTTTTAATATTTAGGGAGTAAAAATCGTTTTTAGCCTCTATGGAGTAAAAATCAACTGTTGTCAACTCAGTTGTAGATTTCGATTGTAAACGATTGCATGTATCGAAAATATGTATCGATTTGTGCTTCGTAATCATTTTAACATATTACAGTCTACAGTCTCTTCCCGTAGTATTTTAGCATTGCAGATACATTAATCCATTCCCAAACTCAACACTGCTCACCTTTACTACTTCCTTCACCCCACCCTACGTCGTGGACCTGTTTCCCTCTCTTCCCATAGCATTTTAGGATTGCAGATACATTAATTTAATTGCCAAAGACAGTTCCCACACTCTGCGCTGTTAGCCTTACTACTTCCTTCACCATTTACTACGTCATTGGCCTGTTTCCTTCCTTTCTCATAGCATTTAAGTATTACAAATTCATTTATCCATCTGCTCAAACGGTTCCCCCACTCTGCACTGCCAGCCTTTACTACTTCCTTCACCACTTACGTCGTGGACCTGTATTCATCGCTTTCCATAGCATTTTAGTATTTTAGATACGTTAATCTAATTGCAACAAACATCCCCACTGTCCGTACTGCTAGACTTTACTACTTCTTTCACAATTT